CTGTAGATCTGCATAAGGGCCTTGAGGGCATCGCGCCTACCGATGAGCATCATATGCCGAATGGACAAAAACAACTTATATCGGTCCCACGTGCTCTTTGCAAAGCATTTACCTTTGCCCGCGGCGTTTCCATTGCGAAGTGACTGCCTGTAGACGACGTCCATGCCAGAGTTGAAAGATCCTGCTGCGCGGTGTGATCTTTGATTGTCGGCCCCCCACTGCTCAGCGGAAGGTCTGCGGGCGCGGGCCCGCGACCTGCGAGTGGCCGAGAAAAACCTTTCGGCCGATATCCACCAGCCGGCTTCGCCAGAGGCACTGCGGCGACAACTTGGGCCTGGTGGGGCATGGGCCGCGCGCGCTCCATCGCGTGGGGCGTGGCGCTCGCGGCGGGGAGGGGGCCTGGCTGAAGCAATGGGGGCTGTCGCATGTGGGGGCCATCCACGCTGGGCGCTGCACCTGGAGCATAGGACTTACTCAGAACAATCAGGTCGTCAGGGGACAGCGTCTCGGGCCCTTCCAAGCGCTCGAGAGGTTTGGGGCCGGCCTCGGGAGGAAAGCGCCCCCTCGGCCTGGGGCAGCGAGAGGGGGGCCCGATGGGGCAACCCCCTCGGCCGAGAGGGCGGTCGTCGCCACCAGTGGCTTCAATTCGCTAGCCCAGCAGCGCGCGTTCCGTCCGCCCTTGTCGATCCCATCCAGGCGCCAACTGTGCCGGGATTTCAATGGCAACTGCGAGGGGAACCTAGCAGAGACTTCTAGTCCAAGTTCAAGAAGAGCACTCGAATCACCTGGAACGCACTCAGTCCCAGAGACGCACTCCGCGCACCTTCCGATCAAGCCCCAGGAGATCACCCGAGGACTTGTAGATGCTCTGAGGAGGGCCCAGGAAATGAAAACGATGCCGGGAGAAAGTGTAGCCATCGCCATCAGCCATAGCCCCCAAGATGAACCTGAGGGTCCGCGAGGACCGCCTAGCAGAGAACAGCTTGGAATCCCTGTTGGAGGACTTGGAATCCTTTGTCGAGGGCCGAGACCCAAGCCAGACGAAGCCGTCTGCCCCTGGTACTCCGATCGGCCGCTCGGCAGGTGGCTAGGGGGGCTTCAGGAACGAGAGGGCCCGGGGCTCAGCCAACTGCGGGTGAAAGAGAAGACGGACAGGAGCGTGCGTCTTGATATCCGTGCCAAGCGCGGGCTCGACAGACTGCAAACAGTGACTGCGGCCGGAAGAAAGAATGAAGAAATCCAGAGTCCTGCCTCCTCCCGTGCTCGCGCGTGCCCCGTCCGTCGCGTGGATCGCGTCGGCCTTCAGCCAGCCCGGCGCAGCCGCAATTGGCCAGCGCATCTGGCGTCATAGCGAAGTCGCCCCCGGTGCAATGTGGGCCTTCAAACTCGCCGTGCCGAGCTCCGACAACGGCGAGAATCCATAGGTTCATATCCGAGAGGTCCTCGCAATCGCGAAGATAAGCTGATTTGAAAAAAGGTCACGGGCGCTCAGAGTCTTGCGGGGGGCCGCGACAGCGTCGACGTCGGGATCGTGAAATCCAAGGCGCCGCCGACCCAAAATCGCCAACCCGCCAGATGCCCCCCCTGCACTCGTACTGCGAGCTGGTGCGAGACGAGCTTCCCATCCCCTCTTCAGTGCCCATAGCCCTGCCTTCGCGATCCCATCATCGGCGACGAGCCGACGCTCCTGAAGCAGGAGGTCGTGTGATGCCGAGGATACAATCTAGGGCCCGATGGAAGACCACGCGGTGCAGTTGATCCTTTCTGCCGCTAACTGGAGCGTGCAGGCAGGGCAAGGAGGCGCTGCTACAAACTTCGGTAAATCAGATGGAAGCACTCCCATCTGCTGGGGGCCTACAACATTTGCTGGCCTGCTTGCTGGCCAAAGTTAAGGAATCTGCGCACGCGGAGCTAGGGGCCCCGCTCGGAACGTCACGGCTGTCTCGTAAAAGGCCCCCCTGCCCGTCGAGGCGACGACGACAGGGGGGGAACTCTTGCTCAGGTATGGGTCCAAGAAGCTTGTCCGCGGAATATAAAAGAGCCGACGCCGACGAAGTAGAAGCTGCCTTGGGGACACCGCCACCGTCAACGCCCGCTGAGACGGCCGCCACCTCCACCGCCTGCAGCAGCGGCAGCAGGCCCTTCATCATGGGTTATCTTCAGTGCCTGTAGCATCGCCGAAATTATTCTTTCGTTCCTTCCCAAGCCGAAGAACATGAGCGATATGTGTTTTTAAACCCTCAAGCTTCTTATCCGCCTGGCCGAACAACTCTTTTGCGGCTGAGGGAATCTGCTCACGTAGTTGTTTGGAACGTCCTGCGAACTCCTTCCGCTCCGTCTCCTGCACTTCGTACAGATCGCTGTCCACGCCGAAGGCCGCCTCGAAACTGGACAGATCCAGGAAGTCCCCCTTGCCGCTGAAAAGCTCATGTAACGATACCTGGGACTTGACGGGCTGCATCGGAAGCGGGCGCACCTGGGAGGAGATTTGTTCGACCATTTTCTTGTTGAGGTCGATGAGGTGCTCGAGCTCGGTGTCGGTGAGGGCATCCTGGTCACCCACGATGGGCGGAGGGTCCCCACCACCTTGGAGCCCGACAGGGAGAACCTCGAGAACTTCCTTGCGCTTGGAGTCCCAATCCCCTTCAGCCCAAACTCCGCCAGGCTGGTGGTGAGGGCCGTGCGCTGGGCGGGGCCGCCGTGGTCCATCTGAGCAGCAGCGCGCGATCCGAACGGGCGGGCATCTGAAATAATCGGCTGGTTCTCTCTTCAACCGCGCATGCCTAAAAGGAAGAGGAGAGACATAGTGACAGAGAAAGAGAAGGACAAGGTCCTTGTCCTTCTCTCTCTCTCTGCCACTAGGAGAGATAGATATATATAGAGAGAGACAGAGAGAGAACAAGAAAGAGAGAGAGAGAGAGAGAAAGAGGGATACGTAGTATATAAAGAGAGGGGGAGAGAGAAAAGAGAGAGAGAGAGAGAGACAAAAAGAGAACAAGAAAGAGAGAAAGACAAAGAAAGAGAAGAAACCACATACCAAAAAAAACGCCCCAGGCTCCCGTGTTTCTCTGCCGACGGTGTACATCTTCGCGTCGCTGGCCCCGTGGGCGCTCGACTCTTCCCAGAGGACCAGCTGCTCATCCAAAGGCCTCCTGGATGGGGTCCGAGAAGATGGGGTCGAAGGATCGCGCCGCATTGCCAATGCATCGCCGCTGTATCGGCGATGCATCGGCCATGCACTGGCGACATCGGCGATACGTCGGCGACGTCGGCGTGGGGAAACACGGGGTCACGGGGTCCACATCGAGCCGCATTGGCGATGCACCCGCGATGCGGCGCGATCCTCCGATCCCCTCTCGACTCGGACCCCACCCTGGAGGCCTAGATCATCCAGGTCCATTTGTCTGCGGCCCCCCGGGGGCCGAGGATTGAGCAGGGACCGACCGTCCCGGCATTCCTATAGTCCTACCACGACATGTTCTTAGAACCCAAGCATGTTCTAAGAACAAGAACAATGTTCTTAGAGCACAAGCCCGATGTTATGAAAAAAGACAGACCCCGCCAGACATGCTCTGAGAGCATGTCGTGGAAACCGCAAGAGAGGTTCTTAGAGCATTTGCTTGGTGGGGCTATAGGCGAGCCAGGACGCTTCGCCACTGCTTGAGAGAAGCCTTCCCGGACGCACCAAACGAGCTCCCCCAGAGCCTGGCATTAAGTCGGGCCTGTCCCCCTACAGGGGGATTTTCGACGAAAAATAAACATACCCCAGAAATAATCAAAAAGTAGTCCCAACATAGTCTGGGGACGATGTTTGGAGCATGTTTGACCATGTTGGGGCATTTTTGGAGTATTTTCTATCCGTCGTCGAACATCCCCCTTGCAGGGGGACACGCCCGACAGAAGCCTGGCACGAAGTCCGCCCGAGAGGCCCCCCGCGGGAGGCCCCGGGCCGAGCTGGCCTCTCGAAGCCGTCGGGCCACGCGCCGCCCGGGGCGCCCCGCGGCCGCGCGCCGCTCCGGCGCTCCGGCTCCCGGGGGGGGAGGGGCGGGAGGCTTCCTGGGAGCACCCCAAAGAGGGCCTCAAGAGACAATGTTGATGGCCCTCGGGGGGGCAGAAATCTAGAAAGAGTGCCAAGGGGGCTCCAAGAGGCGATTTGAGAGGGTTGTGTCCTCGTCCTTGCTGTCATCTTCCTCCCCCTCCTCCTCCTCGACCTCGTTCTCGTCCTTGCCCTCATCGTCTACCCCGGGCATCGCTCGGACGTCCCTCTCCCGTGCGTCTGTCGGTCTTGCGCGCGTGCGCGTGCGGCGTTTTTTTTTTTGCCCGAGGGTCCGGGGTGGTCCTCGGTAGTTCTCGCGGAGCAGAAATTCGGGTCGGGCAAACGGGGGGGATAGCAAAGGCGGGGTTTGAGAATCAGCTCACGTAGCTGATTTTCCCGGCGCCTCCCGGCGCCAAATGCGGCTACGTTTCGAGGAAGGGGCCCCTCGGTGAGGCTGAGACCAGCTGCATGCAGCAAATTTTCGTACCCCCCCCCTTTCCCAATCCACGCCTGTCGTCCGGCCCGAGAAATGCACACGTCCGAGCGGTGCCAGGTCCCCCTGCCCTCCCTCTGCGCGCCGCCAGACCCTGGCCGCTCTCCCAGGCTGCGTCCAGCCGTGGCAGCGGAGGGCCCCCCGCACCGCCCGGAGCCTCTCCAAGCGGCGCTGCCGTCGACGGGCCTTCGAACTTCCATCGGGTCGGGCGAAAGGAGGGGATCTCAAAGGGGGGGGTTGAGGATCAGCTCACGCAGCTGATTTTCCCAGCGCCTCCCGGGGCCAGGAGGCGCCCATGTATCGAGGAATGGGCCTGGCGGCGGGGCCGAAACCAGCTGCATGCAGCAGATTTCGTACCCCCCCCTTTCCCAATCCTCCCCTTTCGCCCGGCCCGAGACTCGACGAACCCCAAACTCTCGAGGCCGACCCACGCCGACGAGCGACGCCGTTGTCGACGTCGCCCCCGGCCACTCCGGACAGCAGCACCCCCGCGGCGGCGCCGAACATCACGGAGTAGATGGCGGTACCCTGGGGGTGCAGGCATCCTAGATAGGGTCGGAGAAGATGGGGTCGGAGGATCGCGCCGCAACGCCGATGCATCGGCAATGCACCGGCGATGCATCGTCGACGCATCGTCGACGTCGGCGATGCATCGGCGACGTCGACGTGAAGCACATCGGGCTCCACATTGGCGATGCATCGGCGATGCGGCGCGATCCTCCAACCCCATCCACTCCGACCCCCTCTGGGAGGCCCAGAGAGGGGCCCGCGCCGCTTGCGGCCCCGCCCGCCCGGCGAGATCCTCGGAGGGATCTCCGAGGGGTGCCCTCGGGCCTGCGACGCGGCCTCCGGGCCGTCGTGTGCGAATCGTCAGCGCGGGCTCCAACGAATACGTCGTTGCATAGGGGATGTTTGAGTAATGTGGCCCAAGCTGCATGGTGTGCAAGCTGCCCGGTACAATGTATGTGGTGCGAGCCATGCGCTGCAAGCTCAGTGGTGCAAGCAAGGTGGTGCAAGCTACGCAGTGTAATCTGCGTCATCCATGGTATGCGGTGTAGGCTCAGTGGGGCAATCCACGTTGCAGAACTTGAGATCGCCAGTTCCAATGCCCGAACAAACATCCCACCCTCCGACCCGCAACCTGTCTGGCAAAGCCCGTGCGGCCACGAGCACGGTCCCTCATCGGCAAATGCTACCGCATCTCTATGACCGCGCTGGTGCGCGGGCACTCACGCGCAAACCGCCCACCCGGTTTGACACAACTGATCTGGCCGCGATCGCGCTTGCTGCCGGGAGTGCCCGCTCTCGCGCGGCAGCGCTGCCGCTGCCCCTGCCGCTGCTGCCCGCGCTTCCGCGAGCGAGGCGTGCGCCGCGAGCGCCGCTTCCAGAGGAAATCTGCCCAGACCCTGGGCGACGGCGACGCGTGGCCCGCTCGCGCGCAGACCCGCCACCTGCGACGACCCGGCGAGCGAAGAGCCTTGCACCCCTTCGAGGCGGGAGCGCCCCCTTCCGGGCGAGATGTCTGCGCGGCGCCGGGCGAGGGCGGCACTTGTCGCTCGCTCTTGCGCGCGACCCCGCGGCCCACGAGCCGGCGACTGGGAACTGTGCGCCGCACCCGAGTGGCAGTTTGAGCTTCAAAAAATGAGCGCGTCGCGGGGGCGAGAGCGATATGGCGCCCTTTCGCGCGGGATGCGCGCCCCGTCCCACTTCGGAAGCGCATAAAACTTCGCCGACGAAGAGAACGGTGCTGACATGGGAACCGCCCGCTTTCTGTTGACCTTGATGCGTAAGACGGCAGGTCCCAGACTGGACCGCTATTGGCGGGCTGGGCGGCAAATGGGGGAGTATAAACCAAGAAAGACGAATCATAGTAGCAGTATCCGCAGTAGCAGTAGTAGTCGCCGTCGTAGTAGTGATGGTGGTGGTGGTAGAAGTGATAATGATAACAATCGGTTGGTATTTCTTCTCCTATCAATACACTGCGGTGCGGCTACCTCTGCTGTGCTACTCAGAGCAGTGCCGTCAGCAGTGCAATGGCGCGTGCATGTCGTTTGTCCTGCTATGAACTCTCGCTGGAGATGTCGAGTTGAACAGGTCGGCGCAGTATAGGCCAACGTAGACTGGGTAGAGTAACATAGAGCTTAATTGCGTACCAAGCCATCTTGGCTTCTGGATCCTGGGCTCTCGGGGGACTCTGTCTTCTCGGGTGCATCATCGGGAGCCTTTTGGGCTGAGATGGCTCCACGTCTGGGCCGCCGTGGGGTTGTCATTGGGTCTGAGGCCACCTTGGGGACCCATTTGGGTCCTTATTGGGGCCATCGTGAAATAATATTGTGCTCGCCTCGAGGTCGTCCCGTGGTGATGGGCCATCGGGGGGATCAGGGTCATATTCGTGGGGAAACCAACAGGTACCGATACGGCTACTCCCTGGACCTCTCCTGGGGTGCGTCCTGACCCAGATCTCGAGGCGAATCCCGCGGTGGCGACGAGGGTCTCCCAGGAGGCCTCAAAAGGGGACACAGAGGGAGGGGTAGTGGTATAGGTACCCGTTGGTCGGAAGAAGTGGGTAGAAACATGAAGGGGGAAGGCGTTGTGGGAAGTAGATTTAGAGGGGCCCAGGGACACACAAATAAATAGACATTGATTCCAGAATTCCCCATATTTTCCACATTCTCTCGGTGTTCGTCTTCCCCCCTACTTTCAACATCTTCCACTATTTTCTTGGGCGTCGGCGATTCTTTGTGTCTATATGTTCCTCCCTTTCCTGAAGATTGGGCTTCCGCAGGCCCGCTGGAACGGAAGGACGAGAGGAGACCGAGCCATCGTTGAAGCAGGAAGGCGCCCACAGCAGACTGGGACCTGGGAGTCCCCCAAATACCTACAGTCGGCCCGTAGGATGCAAGGGCCTCGGATTCCCATGTCGAAGCTTTTCGAGCTGGGCGCGGCCACCGAGAGTGGCCAAGGATGGACCGAAGAGGCAAGGGGGCAAGGGTAGACTTGGGCAGGATGCCCATCCTTACCATGCGGGTCGACTGTACAGCAAATTAGGGGCCTGGGAGCCCCAGCAAACCTACTAGAAACGACCGGCTTGCACACCTGCGCCTCCTCTGAATGTGGCTCGGAGCTGCGGAGCTCGGCGCTCCACCCTCTTCCCAACGCGCGGAGCGCGCCAGGGGCGGCGCCGAAGCCGGAGGCGCCGCCAGGGGCGGTCCAGCGCCGAGCTCCGCGACTTGATGGTGATGGCCGGGGCCAGGGCAGGATGAGCAGGCTTCAAGAGCATGAGACCCTCCGCCGGCCAAAACGTACCAAGCCATAAGATCACTCGAGGGTGCCCTCCCCCGGGATGCACAAGGGCATCCGACGAACACGAAGAACGCTAGTGCACCCTCCCAAACCCGACCTCGATCTTATACATCGGTCCGACCGTTTGCTTCTTCTTCTTCTTCGGCTTTCGGCGGCGCGCACGAAGGGGTGGAGGGATGGGAGACGGCTGCTTAGAAGGAGGCTGCTTCTGAGAAGGCGCCAAACTGCTTGTAGAGGGGCGCGCAACGGGGTGGAGGGAGGGGAGACGGCTTCTTGGAAGGAGGCTGTTTCTTAGAAGGCGCCAACCTTGCATCTATAAGTAAGGTCCGCGCCTTCTGGAAAAGCAGGGGTGCTTTTAAGAAGCCCTCCCACCTCCCCCGCCCCCCTCTGCGCGTGGCTGATGCTTGCGAGGGAGCAGAAGTGGGGGAGGACCCGTAGGGGCACCAGTAAGCAGGCAAGGCTATATGCGAGTTTTGTTCCGGTGACCTCCAGGTCTTCAACCTGGCGCTCTCCCCACCGAGCCATCGCGGCTGGGAGCCAGCTCCCCTCCTGGTCCCCGCCTTCACGGACTGAAGTGGGCCTCCCTGACACCGCGCGAGCCGCTCGGTCTGGAGCGATCTCTGCTGCCCAGGGGCAACCTGGAGGGCTCTCGGCCCTCGGAGTCGCGCCGTGTGCTGTTTTCTGTGCTGCAGGTCGTGGGGGATCCTTGTCGGCCCAAGGCTCTCGACCTTTCGGAAGCAACCTCTGGGAGGTCTTTGCCAGAACGATCAAAAGCCACTAGGCCAGTTCAGGGCCCTTACGCCAAGACTAGGCCAGATCAGGCCCACTGTCGATGTCATGTGCTTACTCACCACAAGCGTCTCTGCCTTGCTGCAGGCAGGTCAAAAGAGGCTAAGTCCGCCCTCCGCCCTCGCGTCGGGAGGGCTTGTAGCAGTAAGCGGCGTCGGGAAGGGAGGTAGGTGGATGTGGCAGCAGTGAACTTGAACACTGCTACTCTTCTGTTTTCCACTCCTCATCCTTCCAGTACTCCGCCCGCCCACGCGGTGGGCGGGCGCGCACAGAGAAAAAGCACGGGCCTCCTTTGGAGGCACATGCTATCTGTAGATAGAATCACCGCGGGATCTCCATGCCAAGAAACAAAAGGGTGGAACTCAGCCATCTGCGGGATCTTCGTCCCGTGCTGCCCTCCACCACCGGAAGATAAAAATATTCGGCGGAGACTCTGCTCCGCGATGCCCTCCACAGGAGGATTGGGTTGATAGACGGCAATGCGCGCGACGTCGAGCGTACCGCTCACGTCTGGTCGGGGGGACGCCACCCCCTCCTCATGCCGCTGTGGCCCAAGCGAGCGCCGGCGCGTGTGTGCCGCCTGCCAACCGTTTTGCGCCATGGCCAGCCATGACGACGTGAAGACGGCGCCCCCGTCGAGCGGCGAAGGCGAGCGGCGGGGCCGCAGTCGGACGCCACCCCGCGCGGAGCGCGGCGTGGTCAAGGAGGGGCCGGTTCTGCTGCCTCAGGCGAAGCAGGCGCCGCGTGGTGCCGCCCCAACCCGCAGGGAACGCAAGGAGAAGAAAGAGCGCAAAGAGGGCCGGCACTCGGGGCGATAACTCCAGTTCGGTCCGGGGGCGGGGCTCGTGTGCTGGGTGCACCGGGAGCGCGGCGGCGATGGCTACGAGGGGCAGGTCCTGGAAGTGGTCGACCAGTGGCTCACGTTCGAGCGCAAACCGGTGCAGGAGTTGACCGACAACCAATGGTTGCTCTGGTTCGGGAACTTTTACCGGGTGGCGTACTGGGGTCAGTTGGTCCGCCCGTCGCCGTACAGCCTGGAGGACTTGGCCGAGCGCTGGAACGACAAGGTCCGCGACGGCAGAAAGTTCTCGAGGTGGAACCTCGTGGTCGCCCTGCAAGAGGAGCTTCCTGTAGCTACCGCCTACTGGATGCTGGCCCTCGGCCGGCAGGCCTCCTACCGTTCCGACCGCGCGGAACAACTGCGCAAGGAGCGGGCCCGCCAGGAGAGGGCGACAGCGCGAACACCAGAAGCGATCGTGCATCGCCACAGGGCCAGGTCGAGCAGCGGAGGAGTGTCGGCCTCGTCGGAGGGTCGCACTGAGGACGCGGAGGAAAAAGAAGAAGAAACTGCCCCGACGCGGTACGAGGTGCCAACCCGCCACAGGCTGGCCTCCGACACGGCCGCTGCAGTTGGGGGGGGGCTCGGGTGCGAGCTA